ATGTGTCCCTGGGCACATGGCATGTTTGACATCAGGTGTCTTCCTTGGTCACTTTCTACTTCATTCTCTGAGAAAAGTCTTTTGCTGAACCCAGTGCTCCCCTGATTCAGAGAGTCTATCTCACCAGCTTGTTCTGGGGATCCCACTACCACCCCCAGAGTGTTGGAGTTAGAAGCAGCCATCATGCCTTCCTGGCTTGTGCCTGGGTTTTGGAGATCTGAACTCCAGCCCTTGCTCCTGTGTGGTAGGTATTTTATCCATTGAGCCATCTCCCAGCCCTTCATCACCTTTTCTATATTGTAAATTTTCTTGTTCTTTGGGTCCCTATTTTGTGAAGTCTTGCCTACCATGTTAAACATGTCAGAGAAATAGAAACAGGATGATGGTAGGGATCACAGCTTCAAATGTGCTAAGCAAGTACTCTGTCACTAAACTACGCCCCATCCTTAACCATGTCTTAACAACTGAAAACAATGATAAAATAATTCAACTGACGTCTTTTTAAAAAAAATTATTCACTTTTATTTTTGGTATGTATTAGTCTTTTGGTGTGTGTATGTGAATGCACCATGTGTATTCAGTAGCCTTGGAAGTCAGAGAAGAGAGTCAGATGCCCTAGAACTGGAGTTATGGTTGTAAGCTGCTATGGAGGGGCTGGGAACTGAACCTGAGTCCTTAAGAAGAGTGGCTAGCGCTCTAAATCCTGAGCCATCTCTCCAGACCCATAGCAGATGCTTCTGAAAGGTAGATAATGGGTACTAACGTGCAGTTAGGGGGAAGGAAGAAATCCTAATGTTCTGTAGCCTGGTAGGGTAACTGTAATCTACAACAGTTTATAAGAGCAGAACCTGAATGTTTCCAACACATAGGAATGAAGAATCCAAGGAGATGGAAATACCGTCACCAGACTACATTATTACGCACTGCATGTATGTACTGAAGTATAATACTGCACCTTGTAAGTAAGTATAGACATGTCTTTCAGTTTTTAGACCAAGACGGCTTTGAATCTGGAAGTACACAGCTCAGTATGGGACATGTGCCTAACACCGATGGGACATGTACTTAACACATGAGAGACCCTTGGTTCCATCCCCAGCCACAAAGCAGAAAACAAAAATCCTTACTTTATGAAAATGGTAAAGAAAAACATTAGAATAATTTTTAAAAGTAGGGTATTAGACTTTCCAGAACCAGAGAAAATTAAGGGCAAAGTTAACCTAGAGAATAACAGATAAAACCTGGCAATAGGATTAAGAAAAAGCAAACCAGAAAGCAAAGATGGCTACTTATACAAAATACTTGTGTCCAAACCATTCTTGTGACTGTTTTACACACTGACCTACAGAAAATGAATGGAAGTGGAAGCCGGGCATGGCGGTGCACACCTTTAGCCCCAGCACTCAGGAGCAGACAGTGGGTTTCTGTGCATTCAAGGCCAGTCTGATCTGCATAAGAAGTTCCAGGACAACCAGGACTTCATACAGAGACCCTGACTCAAAAAGTATTAGTGGAAGTATTAAAAAATGCTTTATATGTAAAGAAAAAAGAATGCAATACAGTTCTCGTCTTAGTAACCTTTCGTGTGCAGGATAAAACCAGCTCAATAGAAAAAGAATAACCAAACACAGGCCCTCTGGGGCTGGTGGCTTTTCTGAAATTACGGTGACAAAGCAGGAGGGCCAGGGAGGGGAAGTGAGAGGGGACTATACTTCTCTTCACCTTTCTCCCCAGTTCCTCCCATCTTTTGCTCCAGCTTTGACTCTGATCAGCAAAAAACTCTATGGTAAAAGTTAGTGAGGTGAAGGTAGGGGAGACTGGGAATCACGTGTTAGTGAAGACGGTGAACAGAGCACCTTCAAAGACTGTCCCATATGGTGTGAGCGAGAGACCTGCCCAAGCAGAGCATTAGCTCCTCTCTGTGAGTGAAACCATCTTTCTACTGCGTGCGTAATGCTAGCCTCAAGCACCTGGACTCAACCCATTCATGCGGTTAACTCAAGCCAGTAAAATTTTCCTCCCCAAAAGCCCACAATTTCTGCTTTCTACCTCCCATATTCAGATATTAAAAACTGCGTGTTCCCCTGCACAAAAACTCTGCCAGCAAGCTTCCATGTTATTTGGATTTGTAATAAACAAATTTAGGCCTCCATTATTCCATGCCTAGAGAGTATTTTAACATCTCTCAGCCCCCATTTCCCTTAAAATTGAACTCTTCCCTGCATACCATATCCATTTTAGGATTCCTGGGTGTCTTAGGGTTACTATTGCTGTGATGAAACACCATGGCCAAAAGCAACGTGGGTTTATTTCACCTAAAGAGAGGATTTATTTCGCCTAAAGTCCCATATAACAGTTCATCATCAAAAGCAATGAGGGCAGAAACTCAAGCAGGGTAGGAACCTGGAGAGAGGAGTTGTTGCAGAGGCCATAGGCGGATGCTTCCTGGCTTGTTCATCGTGGTCATCTTGGTATGCTTTGTTGTTAGCACTCAGGACCACCAAACCTAAAGAAGGCTCTACCCACAATAGGCTGGGCCGTTTCCCATAAATCACTAATGAAGAAAATGCCCCACAGCCACATCTCATGGAGACTTTCAGATAACTCTAGCTGGTGTGAAATTGACCTAAAATTAGCCAGGGTGGTGAGCTCATGCTCCACCCTGCTTGGACATGTCCAGTGGCTCAGAACCAACCATCTTATTCTATTCTTCAAAATCCTCTTCACCATTAATTTAACTGACGTTTCTGCCCTCACCTTCTTCTAGCCACCATCTCAACTGTGCTTCTGGTTAACAACTGACCACGACATGCGCCCACAGGATCCAAACTCGAAGATTACCTTCACCGTTCAAGGACAAGCCTTGGGTCTTTCCTGAACATATCCACCTATTACTTTCCCCTTGCTAAGTTTGCCCTGCTCTTCTGTGCCCTGATCACTAGCCAACTGCCACCTTGTGCTGTTAGAAAGAGCAAAGCCTCACCTCCTAAGCTGACACAATCTGGGTCAGATGTTTGGTGCCTGATATGATGAGCAGTTTCTTCTGAGAAATACCAAACACTTCTGATAATAGAGTCAAACAACTTCCTGATATGCCGAGACTCATCTTTATACAGTTGACCAATCACCTGTCCTGAAGGAACAGAGTGACCTTTAATCAAGTGTTTAAGCTAATCTATTGGGGTCATCTAGACTACCTTTTCTTCCTTACAGTTCTTTGCCAGGGAAGAAATATTTGAAATGGACTTAATGGAAACTACCTATTTCCAGCAGGTTTGAAACAAACCTTCGGTAAGTGCTTACAAGAACTTGTCTGAAATGACTTAAGATGTATGGGTGTTATATATTCATGTTCACATGTGTCCTCATGCATCACGGTTGAACACCCACCCATATGTGTAATGTACTGTTCCAGTGGTGATGTCAAAAATACATTGGATATAGTCTGTCTCCAGAAGCCCACAGCATGGTACCTTTAACCCAAGATCCCCAGACTATTAGAGTTCAAAGTGCCTGTGACGCTCCTGGAAATGTCTATAGATTTCCTGCTTATATGCTGGTGTGTGTTTCTCTCAAGGGAGAAGATCAAGATTTCATTAGATCTTATTCATAAAACACGATAAACAGCAGCTAAGCTAGAAGTTAAAAAGCATATAAATGGTGGCTGAGACAGCATGTTGACACGGTGAGAGAATACAAAGGGTTTTGAAAGGTCTCCTGGGAGAAGTCATACTCAAGAGTGCAAATTCTTTGGGTTCACTTTCTTATTTAGCTTCTGTAGGATCACGAATTATAGGCTCAGTGTCCTTTATTTATGGCTAGAATCCTCTTATGAGTGAGTACATCTCATATTCGTCTGGGTAACCTCACTCAATAAAGTGTTTTCTATTTCCATCCATTTGCATGCAAAATTCAAGATGTCATTGTTTTTTACCACTGAGTAGAACTCTAAAGTGTGTATGTGCCACACCTTCTTTATCCATTCTTCTATTGAGGGGCACCTAGGCTATTACAAATAGTGCTGCTATGAACATAGTTGAACAAATGCTTTTGTAGTATGATTGGTACTTCCCATAGGGCAGGGAACCCTGACTGCTCTTTGACCTGGAGAGGGAGGGGGAGGAGGAAGGGGAGGGATGTGGGAGGAGGGGAGGAGGTGGAAATTTTTAATAAAAAAATATATAAAATAAAAATTTAAAAAAAAGTGCAAATTCATCTGGGCACCAGACCGTCTTCTGGATTTGTGTATCCTACACCCATGGTGCAATGAGCCATGCATCCAAATTATTCAAAAATCTTATGCATGAACTGAACAGGTTTGTTTGTCATCATCCTCTAAGCACATGGCACAGCCTGGAACCCAGTTAGACTTTTAAGAGCGCTCCAGAGTCAGGCCAATTTAGATAAAACGTCTATCCTTGATCAAAGCTGCCCATCCATACCCCTGCATGACCTTGCTTATCCTCTCCCCACAGCCTCTGTTGAGTCCTCTGGGACTCCCCCTGGCCAGGGGACTCAGTTTACAAAACCTCAACTGAGACCACTGCCAAGAAGTGCTTGCTCACCCATCTGCAACGGCAGGGGAATCTCCCTTTTCCTTTTATGAGTGAAGCACAAGAAAGGATTCATAAGTGGAGCCTGGATCCTTCTCACCAAACACAGCCCACACCTCCCAGTAATTGAGCTTGATTTAAAAAAAAAACTGGTTAGAGATTACCGCAAACTATATTGTCATCAAAAAAAACACTTCCTATATGAGATCACAGAAGAGAGTAGGCACAACTTCCTGCTGAGACGATCAGCTAATGCTTAAATAGAACAACTCCTGACTGTCATTGACATTTTATAAGAAGACACGATGACAGCCCAAGAGGATACAGCCCTTATCCTGGCATCCTCCCAGTAGGATTCAGGAAGGAGGCTGACCCAACATACTGAGGAGCACTTCATCAAGTTCCCTGCTCCATCCTGATTCCAGGAGCCAGGATGATGGAATCACGTTTGCTGATGCTAGGATTACTCTCATTCATCACAGTACCCAGTTGTCTTACAGGTAAGAGGCCAGAAGCTGTCCTGGGAATCTTGGGAAGGCTAATGGACTCTTGGGAAGCCTAACACTCCTCAGCTGCAGAACCAGAGGGAGCACTAAGGTAGGAAACTGTGAGAAGGGGTTTCTACCTGTTGAATGTGGCCCACCAGAACCTCACTTTGTGCCTCAGTGGCCCCTGATCTATAAACTTTGCTCAGAATGGCATGAAGGATTTCATCACTCATAGTCCTTTATAGGTTTTGTTTGTTTGTTTGTTTTGAAACAAATTCTCGTGTAGCCCAGGCTGGCCTCAAACTTCACTATATAGAAACAAGTATGACATTGAACTCTTGATAAATGTGCTCCACCTATCTGGTATTTGCTTGCCTTCAGGTAGTCATGTAGCCCAGGTTAGATTAGGACTCACTATAAAGCCTAGACTGGTTTTAGACTGGAGATCCCCTTCCTCATTCTCCCACGTGCTGGGATTATAGGCCTGGGACACCATGCCCACCTAATACATTTTCTATTATTCTTTCTCTACACCCCTAAACACAACTGTATGGTAATTCTAAAAAGTACTAGAGACCTCTCAAAGTCATATTTAACATGCCTAAAGTATGAGTAACTCTATGAAGCAGACCATTTAGGACTTCAGAAACGTTTCATTCCCAGGGATGCTTTGGTTTTGCTGTCTTGGGGAGATCTTTGTGAGTGTGATTTTGTAGCAAATTCAGAAAACATAAATTTACTCATTTTCGGAACACAGCTCTTCTCTCCTTCTTTGTGTGTAGCTTCTCTATAAGTACACATGGACACGTATGTTAATAGTGAATTCCATCATCATGGATTTTCTCAGATATTATTTTCAGAAATAAAAATCACCAACTTGGGTATCAAATAGCTCCTCTTAATTGAGGGTGGATTTTCTAATGCTGCTTTTTTCTTGTTAATCCAGAAAGAGAAGTAAGGTTTGGGGAAAATATATATAGAGAGAAATGGGGGTGTCTCACTATGTAGTCTTGTATTGTTTGGAACTTGCCATATTGGCAAGACTAGATTGGCTCAAACTCATAAAGATCCACCTGCTTCTGTACATACCACCATACCAGGATGAAAATATGTATTTTTGAGAGCCTATGATTTCATATTCTTAATTTCTAGAAATTTATTCTCTAATAATGCGTAAAATGTGTTGAGACTGGAAAGCTTAAGACATTTACATGGAATCTGGTCGCTGATTTGGGGGCTGGTGACCACATTATGTTGGACCACACAGTGACCTGGTGTAGGAGCATTGTGACTTTGGAGTTAAGGTTCCCATGATTTTAGGAAGCTTTTAATGTGGTTTCTCGCTCAACAGCATCTTTCCTTCAACACAGTCTTTGCCAGGTCAGTCCAAGTCAAAACAACCAAGTCTTAACAATCAAGTGTGTTCTGTCTCTGAGAAAAGCATTTCAAGTAAACTTGTGTTATTATGAGCCACGCTTGACTTATAAAGGGCTCGGAATGGTCTTTGTGGGTTATCATTCCGAGGCCTTCATTTGTTTGGTTTTGCAAAATTCCTGCCCATACACTTCTTATGCATACATGTATGGAGAAATGGCAGTAATATAGCTTGAAGTGTGTTTAGAGCTATGGAGTGTGGAGCTGCCAGAGAAGCCTTCATGAAGGTAGCGTGTCAGCTGAGCCCTGGAGACTGGTAAATTTCCGTAAGGGAAGATTTAGGATGAGAAGACACGTGGGACACAAGACACAGAAGTGCACGCAGAATTAACAAGCAGTCCCATGTAGTCTCTATCCTGGGCAGGAATATGGGGATATGGGGGAAAGGACGGAAAGATAAAAACTAGGCCAAAGGAATTAAATCCCTGGTCAGGAAGGTCTTTTCTTTTCCGGTATTGTTGAGTTGAAAAGAAAGGCTTTGAATGTTCTAGACAAGTTCTCTACCACTGAGCTGCATTTTGAGCCCACAGCTCAAAATGTCGTAGCTGTATTTGGTAGGCAATGAAAAACTACTTGAAAATGTTAGGGAATACCACCCATAGAGCCCCTTTGACTAACCAGATACATACATTTTATTGCAATTTATAACCACTTGGCAGTATGGATGGCATGAATCTGTAGAATAATCCCAAACTCAGATCATCATGGTTGCAAGGCTCGAACTCAGTTTGTCCGTCCTGTTGAAAACAGGACCAGTGGCGACCCTGGCTGAGAGTAGAGGGGGAACAGGGGCAAGGAGCTACGTCAAGAGAAAAATTGGTTCCCGGTGGAAAAGATGATGAAATGGACTGGCGTACTGAGGTCGAAAGTGTCTCAGACACTACCCCAGGGCAAGAGGTAATGTCATTTCAGATTTCTTTTTCCCCCAGGAAGCCTCCAGTTTAAACAGTTCATGGGGCTGGAGAGACGACTCCCTGGTTTAGAGCGCTAGTTGCTCTTATGGAGGACCCAGGACCCAACATGGTGGCTCACAGCCATCTGTAACTCACTCCCAGTTCCAGGGGATCTGACAGCTTCTTCTGGACTCCATAGGCACTGCATGCACTTGTGCACAGACACATACACAGGCCGAACACCTAAAGATATAAAATAAATAAATCTTAAGTTGAAAACAATTAGAAAAATAAACAAGTCCTTCTATTCTTCGGGGGCGAGAGAGAGGTCTTTAATGAAATAAAATAGACTGCCAGCAGATATGCAATTTCTAGCTGATTGATAAAGCAGATTTTCATTCTGAAAATTTCCAAAGCCACCATTTAAAAGTGTGATGCGGCACAAGGGATGTATTAGTCAACCTGGGTGTTCTTAGTCTCTATATCACTGGGCGTTGGGATGTGGTTAAAAAGAGAATTCTCCCTGATATTGCCAACACGGCGGGTTACTACAGGCACCTTTCTCAGAATTGTGGAAATTCTGAGATACCCTCTGATCATCTTTCATTCTAGGAATTCTGTAACCAAATCTTTATCCCTGTAGAGTCAAAAGACAAAAGGTATGGAAACCCAGTAAGGTGACACACTTGTCTAATTATCCCTTCTGGTAAAGGCTGCTGCCCACCCCAGAAATTCCCATCTTTACTCATCTTTACTCTTGCTACTCTGACCCATGCTTCGCACGTGATCGTTCACTGTCTCCACACTTTAGAGCCACCGTTGCTGTTCCTCTTCAGAACAGACCCTGGAGAGAGATGGGCCTTTGCCAAGCATTGGCAATGCTTAATGAAAGAGTCATGACTTTGTTTTTAAGTGTCTTAAATAGACAGATAGGTATATAACCCACACTTATGCTCCATTGAGCTTTGAGAACTGACTGAAAAAAAAAACTGTAATTGATTCCATTCACATATGCATCAACTGGCTGTGCTTTGAGAGAACAGCTTGCGTGTTCTACAGCTCCACCACTCCATTCCCCCCAAAGACAAGGACTCTTGGGATTTTTGTGTTCACGTGGAAATGTGGGCATATGAATGGCGGCGGGGGTCAGCTTTGTTATTAATCTGCATGCGCCATTCACATGAATTTGCTTTGTTATCATTTGGGAGTTTTTATTGCTGTTGTCTGGAGATGGGTTTTTGTTTGTTTGTCTTTTGCTTGCCGGGGCTGCATGGTTGGGCGAGGATGTCTGGGCAGAGTTTCAGAAATCTACCCATTTCTTCTTTCCCAGAACTGGCATTAAAGGTATGACTGCCACATCCTGCTTTTCTTTTCTTCATTTTTTATAATATTTTATTTTAGGTGCATGAGTACTTTGTCTGCATGTTTATATGTGCACCACACAACTACCTAGTACCCTCAGAGGTCAGAAGAGGGCATTGGATTCTCTGAGACTGGAATTACAGATGGTTATAAGTTCCCAGGTGGTCCTGGGAAGCGAACCTGGATCCTCTGCAGGATCAATAAGTGTCCTTAAGTGCTGAGCCATCTTTCCATCCCCCATACTTGGCTTTTCTCTGGGCACTAAAGATCATACCTATGCAGCCAGCACTTTACAAACTGAGCCATCTCCCCATCCCCAGAGACGTGTGCACACATACATACAAGCACACACACACACAAGCACACACACTCAAAAACTTTGAAAGTTCTAAATACTTTTGTGTAATTTCTTGTGGAAATCATTCCTGTGCTAGCAATGAATGCCATGAAGGTAGATTGTACCTCCACACACTAGGTTAACACCCCATTTTCCATAATGTCTGGTAATGTACATAAATTTCACAAATAAAGTATGAATTTCTTTAAGAAATAGAGCATACCAGTCAGGCGGTGGTGGTGCACACCTTTAATCACAGCACTCAGGAGGCAGAGGCAGGCGGGTCTCTGTGAGTTTGCGGTCAGCCTGGTCTACAGAATTAGTTTCAGGACAGGCTCCAAAGCTACAGAGAAACCCTGTATTGAAACCTGCCTCCCCCCCCTCCCCCCCAAAAAAAGAAAGAAAGAACAAAAGGAAGGAAGAAAAGAAAGGAAGGAAAGAAGGAAAGAAGGAAGGAAGGAAGAGCATACCAGCAGTGGTTAATGAGGAAGAGAATTAGGAGACAAGTGAACTTGTAAAGAAGTGGAGTTTGGAGCAAACACCTAATGATGTTAGAAAAACCAAAAGCAAGATCTAGGAAGCCACAGCTTACAGGAAAATTCTAGCTGCAGGAGAAGGTTGATAGAGACCTCTTGAAATCCCCTTCCAGCTCCAACATTCTATGTCCAGAATTCTGGAAATAAAAACATTCTCCACAGAAAACATTTTTATTCTAGGGTACTGTTGGAAATCAGAGAAGTTCCCAACCAAAGACAAGCCCAATAGGATATGGATTGAAAGGTCACCCAGCATCAACAGACCAGAGTCTGATAGCTCCGTTGCAGGTTATTTCCCACTCTCATTGTAGCATGATTACAATTTCCGCATTGCTCAAGCTGTGGGTGGAGGGTAAAAACATCACTGTGTTTTGATGAAGTCTTCTTAGGCTTATTTGCTTTCCAAGGGAATTTCTTCCCTCCAGTGATGCCCTTGTTTCTCAAAAGGAC